AGCTTGAGAAGGATGGTGGCATGGGGACCTAGAAAGGACAAGCCTCCACACTTTAGCTTCCTTGAGGCACAGCCCTCCTTGGAGTTCCCCTTTGTCCTCATCCCTTCCCCTCCCCCTGCACTCCTAACCCAACTGTGACTGAAAGGGAAAGGCTGGGGTTGAGCTTAGCTGACTCAGCCAGCTCTTGTGGCCTGCCTTCCCTCTGCATTGGTGACTTGAGGGTCCTGGAGTCTCTGGAAAGGAAGGCACAAGCACAATTCTGACCACAAGCACACTTTCCTGCCCACGTGACCAGTGCAAACTTTGTTCTGCCAAATGCCCAAATAAATGTAAAGGGTTTCCGAAGTCCAGAGAGGCAAGAGCACTGAGGACCTTCAGGGTGAGTAAGACCTCTGCTGGTACCCAACTGGGCACCGAAATGCTTGGTGTGCAGACACACTGTGTGTGGTGGGGCCTACTTTAAATGAATCCCACATCACTTTTTAAACAAATGTGGAAAAATGGAATTCCAGAGTCGTCAATCACCCATTTGTTAGAAGGGAACAGCCAAGTTCATTGCCAAACCTGATGGCCTCAAAAGTTGCCAGGGGAAGTATCAGCCATCTTCCTAAGGCAGAGATGACCTGTCAATGCAAGACTGCCTCCCCCTTGCTCTGCATCTATCAGGAAATCATAGACAGCCTGGCTACAGGAAATCTTCCCCTTTCTCTGATACCCTAAGAAAGGACATCCCACTCTGTCCCAGGAGCTTGAACTCTCCTCAGAGCCCCCTCCATGCTGCCCTCTGTCTGTGTGTCCACCCATGGGATTAATAACTCTTCTAACGAATCTCTCACCAAATGTGCCCCCAGGTCCCCTGAACTCCAAACCACACACAAGGGATCTGAATGCAAGCCTTCCTGCTTGTGTATCAAGTACTTCACCAAGTAACCCATCTCTCCAGGTCCTAAGACAAATGTCCTAGTGAGTGAGTCAGTAAATGCTGTCTGTTCTTCTGTGGTTGATGCAAGAAAGGTTTTAAGGGTTTTTTCGTGTGGGTGCCATGGGCCCTGGCCCCCAACTGTGAGTGGCTGCCGTTTTGCTTGCTGACCTTCATCAGATGTCCTCCCTATTCAGATTCCCTGCCGGTATCCACCCTTCTGAATGCTTAAGGGAAGTTCCTTGTTTGTGTATCCTGCATTTTGGGCGTTAACTACTTAGATGCAAGAATGTAGAACATTGGGTCTGGAATGTAGACCATTGATAGCGAACTTTTGCCCTCCGGGGGTTCCTCCATTTGTGTTGTAAGCCTGTATTTAAGGTTTCTTCCCTCTTTCAATAAACGGCATTCGGCATTCGGCATTCAGTCGTGGCGAATGACTCGCTGTCTCTTGTCTCTATTTTTAATCCGCAGCCCTTTGCTCGGACATGGTGAACGGGTATCGGTAATGCGGGCGTTACCGCTACAATCCAGAAGATTTAGCAGGCTGCAGGCCAGCGGCTCGGTATGTGGTTGTGCTGAGGGATGGGCTTCTGGGAAGGTTAACTACACTAGCTCATTAAAGGAATAACCGCCCATCCCTCTCCTTAGTGTGCTTTTAGATCATCAGTCTCTCTGAGGGTCCGTTTCTTGGCCAGATGATTGACAAGTAGAGCTGGATTAACCCCTAAGGAGGAGAAAATAGTAGGTTATTTTCTAGTCTTTGGAGTGGAACAGAATATATTGTAACTATGCAGGGGCAGATATTCCATTCTTTGGACCAGGAAGCCCACAGAGTGCCAAGCTGATGCTCACCTGTCTAGTGTTACCAGGGAAACAGGAGGTAGGCCCCAAACCAAACATGAGGGAGGGTCCAACCTCAAGTCCCTCAAGGCCACTAATAACTGTGGTAATGCTGTCTCAAATCTGTAGCTGGGGGCACAGAAGTGGGCATAGACGTGGCTGTGAAATTGGGGGGATGTTAAAGAGTAGTACTTGCATTTGGTACTGGTAATTATCACCTACCAAAGCATAGGCTTCAGGTGGGATGAAGTACACATGACCATAAGGCAGTTCAGCCATGTGCGGGATCTGCCATCCTGGAGCCGCATCTTTGAAGAGAAGGACAGTGGTGTCTCTGTACTCAAACCGGCTCTGAGGAAGGCAGCTCTTGGACTGTGCTTGCATTGTAAAGTCTGCTTGATCTTAAACAACTGTCCTGTTACTCCCCCACTTTGAATACTGTCAGGAAGGTTGGGCTCACTCAAGTACTGGTCCACAGCGTGAGGATGGAAAAGTGGGACTTTGGGCCCAGTTTAGGGGAACTCGGCTGGGAAGCCCATACCCACATTTGGGATGTCTCACTTTCTGAGTGCCCCTCCCACAACCTTTATGTTGATAGTCTATGTTAAAATTATCCTTGATAAAAATCCCCAACTCTGCTTCACACAGGCTAGTCTTGAAATTCTTTTCTGTGTGTGAAACCATGAATCTGCTTTGGCCAGAGTTGAGGTCCTTAAAGAAATTAATGGAACTCATTAAGTTGCTGAGGATGGGCAGCATGAAGTAGTGTCCGCCCCCCCAAGGCTCACATCTCTGCTGGTTTGGGTGCTGTGTGTAAGAGAAAAGAGGAGTGGGTGGGGAGGATATCTTTGGTGTGCCAGCATTTAACTGTAACTCCTTTCTCTAAAGGTTCCTTTGGTGACCTATTTCTTGACTCTTTCAAAAATTCTCATCTGTCCCATCTGTAAATCAGTTATCATCCTCACCACCACAGAAAGATGAAGTCCACTGTCCCACTGACTGGCAGGTAAGGAAGAACATCTCTGCTCCTGCCCCTCCCCCCAGGGAGCAGATGAGTAGAAAATATACGAAAAGGTAAATTACCTAGAAACTAGTGATTCTTCCAGATGGATTGTTAATGGCTTTAGAGACATCTTTATTTATGTGCATCATAAATCAGGAGACCTAAGTTTCAGATACTTCATTTTCTGGCCATTGTCAGTGAATGTTACCATCATTGTTCTGGGTTAAGAGGGGATAAAAAGGAAGCAGAGCCATTTCTGGGCGAGGGGTCTGCCTGCTTTAGACTGATGATAGACTCCTCAAAGTGGACAGGCAAGCCATTTTCACAGGCAATAACAATGCGTCTGAAATCTCTGGAGGCTCGGTACAGGCACCAACGCCCGAAAGACACTCTTGTAAGCCTGCAAGTGGTGACCTGGAATTTAGAGATGCTTATTCTTAAGTTATTTTTGTAAGGGTTTCCGTTTTCTCCACAGACGGCCTTGATGCTGTTCTTGTTGCCATGAATAAAGGTGTTGCGACCTTTGCAGGGAGAATTAAGTCCTCGTTGTCTCATCATACTATCACAGTATCTGTCATCCCGGCCGGTCGGATTGGCATCATAGTGCTGAGTCAGGAATTTGATATACCTGGCGTCATTTTGAGCCAGAGTTGATGGGGTCACAACGAAACCCAGCACAAAGACCAACAACAAGGGGCCCAGACTCATGGTCATCATTCCAATAGAGATTCCTGCCAAAAACAAAAAAGTAGGAATGGTAGGCTCTTGGAACCACATTCTAACTTAGGCTAGAAGTGTGGGGACTTCCCTCTGATAGGACATTATAAATCAGTCGTCCTCAGTCATCTAACTCATCCTCTGCTTGGGCCTTCCTAATGGACTGCAGGACCCAGTCATCTTCCTCTGTCTTTCAGGATCACCATGGGCCATAGCACAGTTAAAAACTAGTTATATTCTTAGTCACTTATTACTTAAACTTGATAACTCCTACTCAACTCCCTGTTGGGCCCAGGAACTGTGCTAGATCCTGGGACACAAAGACCTTTAAGATATACCAAGGACAGGGGCAGTGGTATGTGTCTGTAAGTCCAAGCTACTTAGGAAACTGAGGCAAAAGGATTGCTCAAGCCCTGGAGTTCCACACAGGCTTGGGCAACATAGAAAACTCCCTTTGGGGAAGACAGAGAAGAATGGAATAGAGATGTGGCATCCAGGGGAAGCAATGGGGCCTCCTGAGGTGAGACAGGTGCTAACACAGGAGCTGAGAGCCATGAGGAATGACATCCGGGGACCATGAGCACAGGGCAGACGATCCCCCAAGCCTACAGAGATGGGGTTCTGGGCACTCGGGTCTCGCAGTTCCAAACCAATGAGGAAAACTGTTGGGAGCAAGTCACCCTGGTGTGAAGGGGGGCAGGTCTGCTTCTCCCAGAGGGCAAAGTTGCCATTCAGTGCACAGGAAGAATGGAGCAGTGGACCTGGAAGAGAAGCTTAGGAGTGAACGGGGGAATTCAGGCTATTCCTCAGTCTCTTCAGAAGCCCTTGGACGACTCGGGAGAACAGTTTCTAGTCTGCCCTGGGTTTGTAATGTGGTCAACACAGACACAAGATCTTCCAGTGTGGTAAAACAAACCATGACAAAATGAAACTGAGATCGCTTCATGAAGCCAAAGGACTTACAATATGCTGTAGATCTCTCTGGAAAGGACAGAGCGAGGACTGCCTCCTTCATCTTTCGAGAGCCTCTCAGCTCACCTGGCACCACATGCATCCATCACAGACCACACACCTTAGGGCCAAAGGTACCTCTGCTGGAGCTTGACCCCCTTGTGGGCTTTTAAAAGATGTTATTTCTCATGAAATTTGAAATTCAGAGAATCAAGAGGCATTAGGTTGTCTGGGGTAGGCAGTGGCTAATAATACCCTTAGGTCTTTGGAGAAAAATGTAAAGATCACCCCAAAACCTAACAGCCCTCCTCATAGTGGGTCTGCAGAGATGGCTTGGCAGTTAAAAGCACATACTGCTCTTCCCGAGGACCTGAGTTCAGGTCCCAACACTCACACTGAGCAGCAGCTCACATCTACCTGCAACCCCACTCCAGGAGATCTAATGCTTCTGGCCTGTGTGGGCACCTACACTCTCTTACACATACCTGTCCACAGACACGCATGCATACACTTAAAATAATAATAATAATAATAAAAATCTTTTTTTAAAAAAAAGCTCTATAAGGAGAAAGTGGTTCAGTAGGTAAAAAGCTGAGCTTGAGGACCTGCTGTGATAGGGAAACATGGGGTTCCCCTACTCCCCCGCCCAGTAACTGGTGAGTTTAGGGTCCTAGAAAACATGGTAGATGGCTTCTGAGGAACATATATCCAAATATGCACCTCACTACAAAACCCATATAGGCCTATACCCCAATATACAAATGCCCCCACATTTAAAAACAATAACAATCAACTTTTAAGTTTTGAATATTTTTTTTTGTATACAGGGTCTTGCTCTGTAGCCCAGGCTGGCCTCAAACTCTTGATTAAGAACCACCAGGCCCAGTTAACGTAGTTCTGGAGAAATGGAGGTAGGAGAATCGGAAGTTCAAGTTCATCTTGGTTCTATAGCCAGCTCAAGGGCAGCTTGGGATACATGAGACCTTGTCTGTAAATAAATAATTACAAAGAACGTTGCATCTTTCAGCCTGAAGAAATATGTTACTGAAAGGGAAGATCAGCCCTACCAAAAAGTGTTTTTTTTTTCATTTCCCTATAATGTACATTTCAGCTGCTTTGAGTTATTCATTAATTTTATTTTGTGTTTTTCTTGCTTGTTAGTCTGAACAGTTTTACTTTAACCGTGTGTGTGTGTGTGTGTGTGTGTGTGTGTGT